GTGAGTAAAGTGTACCTCTGGGTTTGGCTCTATTGTTTGGGTGATACATTTTAATTCATTAATCAGGTTTATTAGTAGTTAAAAGGAATGTTACATAGGGCTTCTTCTTAGTATATAAAAGTCTAAACTCACAGGAGAAAAGCTGTTTGACTTTAAAACATCAGCAGGCAGGTTGCAGTGTTTATAGGATTAACTGCTGCTTTTTCTCTTGTTGCAGTTTAAACCATCCTTGCTCCAGTAGTTGAATTAGGAATGCAGTCAAGTCTGTTCCAGATGTTTGAAAATGATTAAACTTGTGCACACCAAGTTGCCAAAAAGCACCTTATAGTTCTTGTCTGACCTCCTTGTTCCAGTGTTTCACCTGTTCTCTTTGAGAGAGCAATCTTGGAAGGAAATCCTTCCAGAAAAGCCCAGCATCTCATCTGATTAGAGACACCCCCCCCCACCCCCCACCCCCCATCATTGTTCCGAGTTAGCCTAAGATGCAAAATAAAAGATAAAATCCCAGAAATTGTAATTATTTTTTGCAAATTTTTTTACGACTTTTAATCATGAAGATTTTTTGGTAAAACTTATTTTTTCTAGTGGTCCCTGTATGTTAACATGCTTCTTCCTTTAGTGAAGAAGGATAATCATTACTCTAGGAAAGCATGGACGGTCAATACTGAGGCTTATTCTAGCAGCTGATGCATAGATAGGCTCTGGAACAGACTGGTAGAAATGATTGAAATCTGACTGGCTAGAGAAAAAAAAATCCCACATTTTAAACGACATCCAAGAATTGGCCAGGTGCATGAGAACTGAATGAGGTCCATTCGTTTCACAGATGGTCTCAGATCTGCACAAGAAATAATTCTAAGTAGGTTAACTGGACCAAGTGCAACTAAACTGAGCGATCAATCATTCCTCTTGACTGCTTTAGGTAGTCTAAAGCTTGGTTTATGCTTGACGCATTTACTTTCCGATAGGTGATGCGGCTCGCGGATGGAACGCGCTTCACAACTTGCAGCGTTTATGGTTCATGCGGCTTGTCTCTGCGGTGAGCCACTATTCTCCCAAACTGTAGGGGGCAGCATGGAGCTCTACAGCATGCATCCAACATTACACCATAGTAGAAGTAACAATTACTGTTGTTTACAACATGACATTCCAGCATTTTTTAACAGCATCCTCATCTTTTCCAACAGTGCGAGCTATTTATCTCCAAGAATTATGAACCTCTGCCATACTAGTTCTTGCCAGTCCGCCATGTTTTTCCACGTCCGACCGTCCGAGTGGTTAGAAAATTTCCTAGGTGCACGGTGCGGAAAGTTTGGGCCGTGCGGAGGCGCGGTGGAGGGGCGTGGTTGTTAAAATGAAGCAATTTTGCCACGCGGAGCCGTGCGAACCTCGCAGACGCGTCAAGCATAAACCAAGCTTAACCCATGATTAGCTTCAAGCATCTTACACAACGCCGACTAAACAATTTCACCTCCACAGTAAAAAAATGTCAAACGCTAATAATTTTAACAGTTAATTCAAGTTGTAAGTCTGTACTAAATAAAACAGTTTGTTACTGTTTTAATTAATAATTTAATTCAGGAAATGTAACTAATTCCTTTGAAGTATTATCATGATTTTTGACTGCATGAGGCTGTTTTCAAGTGTTAAAATCATAAAGCAGAATTCAACAGAGTTTTGTGAAACTCTGTTTAACATCCTTCAGCTAAAGAGAACATAGTAGGCTTGGGCGACATCCAAATTTTAACACCGTCTAGCTTCCTCCCCGTTTTACCAAGGTGAACGGTGTTACTGGGGACTGGTTTAAAAATGACGACGTAATCCTCAAGTGGAATTACCAAACTGTTGGTTTGGACCTTCACCGCTCAGAAACGGAATAACAGACACCATAACTACAACAATAACAACATAACACACGTAATACTAACAACTTTAAGAAAACACAGCTTATAAAAAGATTTTTCGCCTGAAAAACCAGCATGTTTACCCTTACTGGTTTCAACCTCCGACTGCTGAAAACTCGCTTCGATGAGCTTGTAGCAGAAGCCTGGTTACTTTGGGGCTAGTCGCGACATCTGGGGAAGGCTGGCAACTTATTTTCCACCAGAAATGTTCGTTGTTGTCTCTTTTAATAACAGGCTCCTAACAGAAGTCTGCTATTTCAGCCACCAACACATTCTCACATTCGAAGCCAACACACACGGAGTGACCAAGCGTTTGTTTCCGACGCCCGCGGTAAAACGGAGATTTGACCTTTACCCTCTTGCATATTAATCTTCCCCTCACCCCATCCTAACCTTATCCCACTTGTGCATGCAAAACGTTGTTTGTAGTTGTATTGTCTGTCTCAAACATGGTTAACTAGAAGTTTAGAATGAGAAACTAGGTTAACGTAAAGATGGCGGTGACGAGAAGGTTAAAGAGCAAAAGGTTAGAGGTTAAATGTCGGTGAAATGTGCGTTTTCCCGCAGGCTTCGGAAACCAATGCTCTGACTCCCTGGGGTTCCCAAGGCGTCTGAAACAATCGCTTGGTCACCCTTCGTCCATTTTAGCCGCTTCGGGTGTGAGGATGTGTTGCAGCTGCAGGTCGCTCCTCTGCGGTTCTGATGGGGCCTGCATCTTTCGCGGTCATCTTTTGTTTGCACAAATTAACAATAATCAGTGCATACCAGCTCTCCTTTTAAATTTGCTTCGAACCCAAAATGCTCCCAAACTGCAGAAGTTGTGTTGTTTTTAGACACCAAGTCAGCTGGGGCGCGAGCTGCCATTTTGCTCTCTGCGCACTGCCCTTCACGCTGTCACGCGATGACATCACGCATAAACTTTATGGAAAGTCTCTAAAAGTTAGACAACATTTTTTAAACTATTCAACCACGCTTCTGTTTTATACATTAAACAACTTTATTATTATTATTTTATGTATTTAATCCTTGTCTCCTACATGCACTTTGTTTTTCATGATGGTATTGGAACTGTTGCCATTTTATTACATTGGCTGTATACGGTAATACCACCCGAGCCTAGAACATAGTGTTTTATTAGTTTACCAACGGCAGTAGAATGGCTGCTACACAAGGTCCCACATCAGCACCATTCTTCATGTGCACGACACGCTTGTAGAGGATGGCATTCTGGTTTGGTGCTCCTGTAGTTCAGTGGGAGAAAAGAGTTGAGTCTGGGATAAGGGGAACAGGGTTGATTACTGGATGGCACGGTGGTACAGTTGATTGCACTGTTACCTCACAGTGGGAAAGTTGCAGGTTCAAATCCCAGCTGCAGTCTTTCTGCATGTAGGCAGCACGATATTGGGTACTCTGGTTTCATCCCGCAGACCAAAGGCATGCATGCTAGGTTAACTGGACACTAAATTGTCCCTGTGTGTGTATGAATGGATATCCCAGTAATGAAGGGGTTCCCCAATTTTGTCTTTGCTAAGGTTGTGTGGTTAACAAGATTTCATTTGAAAAAAACTTACATATATAAAATCCCAATAACATACCCTACAGCAGGGCTATTCAAGGTCAGGCCTCGAGGGCCGGTATCCAGCACGTTTTAGTGGTTTCTCTGGTCCAACACACTTGATCCAGTGGTTGAGTCACCTGTGCAGCAGCTCATCAGGCACTGCAGAACCCTGTTAATCACTTGCTGATTGAAATCAGGTGTGTTAAAGCAGAGTTAAAACTAAAATGTGCTGGATACCGGCCCTCGAGGTCTGGAATGGAATAGTCCTGCCCTACAGTATAATCAGAACTCCAAATATAAGTTATAACTCTGTGTAAAGATAGCAAATGATCACATTTAATGTGTGTGTGTGTGTGTGTGTGTGTGTGTGTGTGTGTGTGTGTGTGTGTGTGTGTGTGTGTGTGTGTGTGTGTGTGTGTGTGTGTAGGACTATGGGTTGGGGGTCCTGGCTTGTCTTGGACACGAGCAATGGGGTCCTCAAAGAAAAATATTTTGGGAAACCCTGCTGTAAAGGACTGGTGACCTGTCCAGTGTTCTCAGTCTTTCACCCCATGACTGCTGACTCCTGGCCAGCCTTCCTATACATATGAATATATAGTTTGACAACAACCCAAAGGGAAAGTTCAGTCGAGACGAGAGGCAGAATCTAATGTTGTCTTTCAAACTGCCTTTGCATGCTATGGGACAACAACGTGACGGACTCACCGCTACAGATGTCAGTCGACAGGACAGTCCGCCATATGCTGTCGTAGAAGACACTAATACATACTTTTTCTGCTCTTGACACAAAGAAAAGCCCAAGTCTAAATAGGCCAAAGTTGATGGCTAAGTTGTTTCAAACAAGCCGTCACCATCTTGGTAGTGTCGCTCCTTCACATCACCCCACCCACCAAACCAAGAGAGTGCTGTGATTGGCCTGCCACACTGCGAAGATTCCAGTGGAGCTAGACTGACATGCAGGGCAAAATCATGCTGCTTTTGCAGCTGTCTGTCTAGAAATCTAGGCCACTGGACACAGGCTTCAGCTACTCGGGACAAGATGCATTGTGACAAACACTCCTAGTTGTTTAGTTTAGCCAGAACAAAGGATCAATACAAAAGCAGTCTGATTTCAAAGCAGCAATTTCTACTCCTGAATGGACTCATTAGCCTTTATAGTTTCATTTCAACTAGTAAAACACATGAAGAGAATGCAGACATTTTTCAGAGCAGGAAGGCATTTTCATTTTTAGTTTCACTGTGTCCTTATTAGTGTGTGCACCAATGGTTCTGACTGTGAGATGAAAATTGCATAGTGTTCATCTAGTTCAGTAGTTTGACAAGCAGGTGGGTCAAAATGAGAAGTTCTCTTCATAAGAGCTGCTAATGACAGTATGCACAAACCGCAGAAAGACCACTGAGGTGAGTGACACCGCTCAAGCTCGTCTTTCAACAGAAATGATGAGACGTTCATAATAATGCACCAAAGTTTACATCCTGACTTGTGACAGAGGTCAAACCATTTTATTTTTAGTTTATCCCCTAAAATAAGTCCTGGA